AATCACAGAGAAAATTGTAAGCTTGTAGTGCACTGAAAATCACAGAGAAAATTGTAAGTAGGCAGAGAAATTTACAGACGTAGCAATAGAGTAGTAAGTGTTTTGTTTTTTTTTTTTAAATTTTTTTTGAATTGAATGTTTGTGAACATAACAGATCTTCTCTGTGATTTTTTTATGTTCTTGTGTTTAATATATTTTTGTCTCTTTATGTTAATGTGTTTTTGTTTTTGTTATATTGAAAGTGAATATAAGTTCACAAATTTCTCTGGACTTTTCTTTGTAGTCCAGAGAAAATCATATGATTGTATTACAAATGATAAGTATTACAAATTTCTCTAGACTTATATGTTGTGTTTTTATGTGTTTTTATATGTTTGCACTTTTCAAAGTTTTCTGATATGTTTTCTTTGCACTTTTCATTTTTTTTTTGCACTATTCATATTTCTGGACTTTTCTTTGTAGTATAGAGAAAATCGTAGGTTTGTTATTATAATCCAATGAAAATGACAGAGAAAATGTTAAGCTTGTAGTTGAGTGAAAATCACCCTTGAAGTTGGTGTCTTGATCTTGATGCTTATTGCTTCTTCAACTTGGACTTATTTTTTTTGTGGTGTTCTGGTGCTGCTACTGCATTTTGATCTAAGATCATAAGACGCAGACACAAAGACTTTTGGTTTCTTTTTCGGGGTTTCTGGGGTTGTGTTGCTTCTGCGCTTTGCCATTTCTATAGAATGAAAACATAAATATTAAATCCCAGAGAAAATTACAAGGTAGCAATGATTACACAACAGACAAAATTACAAGGTAGCAACATAAACATGACAGAGAAAATTACACAATAGAGAAATTTTGAGGAAATGGAGCATTGAACAAAATAAATATGTCAGAGAAAATTAGACACAAGACATAAACATAATGTGGCCAGAGAAAATTATAAATGCTGCCAGAGAAAATTAGACACACAAGTAAGAAAAGTAATTTGGCCAGAGAAAATTATAAATGCCAGAGAAAATTAGCCACACCAATAGAGTACTAAGCCACAGATAATTTGCTTGAGAAAATAATGAAGAAACATAAACATGCCAGATAAAATTACACAATAGAGAAACACAAATGTAGCAAGCCAGAGAAATTTACAAAAACAAGAACACAAGAAGCTTCAATAAGAAGCCCCGAATGCATAGAAAGCAGTTCAATTTTGACAGTTAGAAGGAAAGCAACCCATCATCAGTTGGAAGCAAAGAAATTCTGGACTTCCAAAGAATTTCTCTGATTCAACCCAGAGAAAATTCAAATTTCTCTGGTCCAGAATTTCTCTGGAATGATAAAACTCTGATTTGATCAATTTGTCATTGGCTTTGCTGCTGTTGATTCAATTACAATTTCCTACACAAACAAATTAATAGTTCTTCTATGAGTTTGTGATAGATTTTCTTTAGACTTAATGGTATGAATTTCTCTGGGTTGAATCCAGAGAAATTTCTCTGGGTTGAATCCAGAGAAAATTCAAATTTCTCTGGATCACTTTAAGCCTTCCTCTACTGATGCCTCTTCCTCAAGCTTCTTTTTCCAATATTCTTCAAGTAGGGGTCCAAATATTGCTTTTCCAAAAACAACTCTAATTCTACTAAACCCAAAAAATCAAAAGACGTTATATTCAACACTCAGAGAAATTTTGAACAATGGTGGTTGTTAATTGGTAGACGGATAGTGGTGATGAAGAGCATGAACAGAGAGAGAGAGAGTAAAATTTTGTTAAGAAGTGGGTTTGAAGGCACTTTTTAAGTCATATTATCTTTCATATTTTCTACATGATTTTTTAAAACAAGTTAAAAAAAATTAAAAAATTAATTTTTAATCATCTTTTCAAAATATCTCGAAGAGAGGAGATGGTAAGGGTGTAATGGTAAACTTACTATAAAAAAATTTGAAATAATTTAAATAAGTGTTTTTTTTAGACTTTTTACAAAAGATATGTAGAAAAATAGAGATGTAATGTGACCCAAATAAGTGCATTTATTTAAATAAGTATACTTATTTAATTTATGCCAAACAAACTATTAATAGTGTGAGTTCATATAATAGAGGGGATGAAATGTGATTTCAAAAGAATACAGGTGCTGTCTGTAGATGATGTGTAAAAAATGTAAAAGATGATGTGATTCAAAATAAGTTAAAAATTAAAAGATAATTTTTAACTATTTTCTTAAAATAGTCCAATGTAAATATTCAATGATTGAGACTTTTTTTTTTTTTTAAAAATCTTACAACCCTTTTTAAATTTTTACCATTAATAATATGGATCTCACACGTATATAAATAGATTCTATATATACACATCGATGATTGAGATTTAAAAAAATTTGTAAGATCTCAAAAAAATAGATTCCAAACATTTTTCATATTTTAAATGGTATTTTTGCCCCTGTTGTTAAGTCACCTCACTTGACAGAGCTGCACATGTTGCGCGACATTTGTGGCCACTATATTCTTTCTCTCTTGCTTTTCTCTGTCTTGCTCGTGAAGAAGAGAGTGATGATAAGTATAGGCAGAAATCAGTGGCAACGTTCCAAATCAGGGGCAATTTCGTCATTTCTCAAGCAAGGCTTCTCAGGCACCCCTTCCTCCTGAAAACTTTTAAATTGTAATTTATTATTTTTTTAATTTATTTCAAATGATACCAAACAAAAACCTATTTTGAAAAGGGAGTTAAAAGGCACTTTTCATCTTTTAACACATTTTTTTTTCATTAAAAAAATTAAAAATTTTAAAAAGTTAAAAAGTTAATTTTTAATCATTTTCTCAAAATACCCCCAAAGCCTTACTATTTATTTATGTTTTTAAATAAATATAATATTAATATATAGTTACACATGCTGAATTGATTTTTTTTTTATATTATAAATCTTACAATATATAAAAGTAGATTAAAAATTAATTTTTTGACTTTTTAAATTTTTTTTTAAAAAAAATAAAAAAATAAAGAGATAATATGGCAAAAAAAATTAAAAAATTAAAAAAACTACTTTTAACCTAATTGCTAAAACAAACCTAATTAATTTAAGCCCCAGTTTGGTTTTGATTTTGGGTTAAATAATCACATATGGACAAAAAAAAAAAATTTAAAAAGTTAAAAAGTCAACAAAAAAATTTGTCATTCCAAAGCTAAAAACCCAAATAAATAAAAAAATATCAAGTTAAAAAGCCAAAAAAATTAAAAAGTTAACTAAAAAAATTATTGCCAAATGATCCCTGAATCTGCCCTAATATCAACCCCATAGGCACAACTTTAAAGCAAAGCTGTATTCTCTCGTCCCTGGGTAGGTGGGTGGGTGACTAATGGAATGGTTGCTTTAGTGGTGAACGCATGGGCCTTTCTTAACAAAGAGTCAAGTTTGATTCTTTAAGAGCGCCAAATGTTAGATAATTTTGAGTGATTCACTGTAGAAATTTCGCGATGCATTTTGATTGAAACTTGATCTTATTAGGAATAGTTGATGAGATTCATTGATGTCTCGATAATAGGTCTTTTTCTTATAAATTAGGTTAAATCAAGTCGACAACCGACTATTCTAGAGTTTGAGTCGTGAGCGGGTGGGACTTTTTTTTAGCATTTTTCTCAACCCCGCACAACAATTTTAAAGCAGGAAAATATTGTAGAACTTTAAAAAAAAAGTACTAGTTCAGTAGAATTGTTTTTAGAAGGGTAAATTACAAACACCCCCTCGAGGTTCGGTGAAAATATAAATTTCCCCTTGAGGTTTGAGAAATTACATTCCACCCCTGAGGTTTATATTTTCATAACAAATTGCCCCATGAGATTTTTATTTTCATACAGATTCCTCCCTAATTTCCCTAATTTGTTATGAAAATTTGACCCTCATGAGACAATTTGTAATTTTTCAAACTTTAGGAGAAAATTTATATTTTTACCAAACTTGAAGGGGGTGTTTGTAATTTACCCTTTTTAGAATAATTCCGCTAAAGCTCTGTATTATTACTGTTTAAAGCACAGCTGTATTATCTTGTCCTTAGATAGGTGGGTGGGACTTTTTTTAGCAATTTTTCTTACCACTTTCTTTCTCCTCTCTGTTCTCATTGGACCACTGACCATGACATCTATACTTTATAAGAAGAAAAAATTTAGTGGATGTGAGAATAAAGTTTTCAAATTAAATAATTATTTAAGATGTGCTATATCAGTGTATTTTTTAATTTTTTAATTAAAAAATAGAGAAAAAATACATGTTTGAAATAATTTTTTGATCGTTTACAAAAAATCGTGTAATAAAATATTGTACTAAAATCAAAATAATCATTTCATCTTTTTGATTTTTTAACTTTTAAGTAATTAAATACAAAAAGTAAAATAATAATTTTAACCTAGTAACTTTCTCCACAAGTTACCCTCGAATAGTATAAACTTTTTAATTTTTTTAATAATTTTTTAACTTTTTTTAATTTATCCAAAACAAGGCCTTAATTAAATGACAAAATTGTATTTTAAAAAAAAATTAAAAAATAGAGTGTTCAACCAACAATTTGGGGTGCATTTAGAGTCTCTGCCCTGTTACACCTCTAATTAGGGCCATTGAAAACATTACCACAAATAACATTTTCTACTATCCATAACCAAGCACCCCACCAATCCTCTCTCTTGCAATCTCTCTCCATATCAATTATTAATTAGTTTAAAAATCAATCGTGCAAAACTAAATCCTTATTACATCATTAGAGGTGATTTTGTGGATCATGTTATAAGAGAGTAACATTTTTTTAAGAAATATGCACTTACTTGTAGTTTTTATATATTTATATATTTATTTTTGTGGTGATGATAATAATTTAAGTAGAAGAGTAATATTAGAAGGGACTTGCTAATTAAGTGACCCTAGGGGTGAGTGGCTACTTTTTAACTGTTTTTGCGAGAGTCACAAAGAACAGGTGGAGAGGAGAGGAGAGTTTCAGGTTATGACTTGCAATTATTTAGAAACCATAACTTCAGTTTAACCACATAATATGAAATTAACTTATGATGAAGGTACAAAATCATTGTATGAGTTGGGTAATATTGACCTGTGTTTGACTAACTTAAATGAAAAGTGGCATAACTAAGCAATAGTTGTATTAAAGAAGTTAGAAGGGGTTATGAGCCCAGAAGAAGGGAAGGGTTCAGTTGGAAATCCTGCTTTTCACAATATTCTAAAACATGAGGACCATTAGAATTCTATGGATAAAGATCCCTAATTGGGTTGCCACATTTTTCTGAGATTGTGAAGATGGTCAACAATGTAGCCCTTCAAAAAAGTGAGACGAACCTTCCTCATTGGGTTGTAACACTCTTTGCAAGATTGCGAGGCTGGTCAACATTGTAGCCTCGTAGAACGGTGAGATGATATGCCAACAACTGCACCAGAAGACAAATAAAATAAACTTAATGATTCAACGTGGATAAAGTTAGACTGGATAATCAAAACAGAGCAGAATTGATTCATATCTTAATAGGGTGAACAGATTTGAAGGAAACTAGCATAGATCTTATTGTTTCTTAATGCTTTAAATGCATATGCAACAGGGGAGGGATTTCATGCTGGTTTGATCATTTCTAGCACTAGACATTGTCACATTACAATATTTACGATTTGAATTATAATGGCAAGCAGGAACTATTCAGAACCAGAGATGCTCCGTCCACTTGGTTTGATTGTGGCAATCCTTAACAGTGTTTGAGTATTTGGGGGAGGGGGAGGTTAAAATTCGAAACTCCTTTGACCGCAAATCTTATGTATTGATAACACACACACACAAAGATAAAGACAGAATGCATGGTCGGAAATTGTCAAAAGAAAATTAGAAGAGTCGTCAAGGAATTTTAAGCCCTCTCCAATCACACATGAAGCAAAGACAGTGTATTCAATCGAAGATGCATTCCCTGCAAGTGCTAGACAGAAGAGCTATACTGCCAATGAAAGTTAACATATAGAAGTACACAATAATATCTGCCAAAAGGGAATGCCAAACTGTCAAAAATCTAAAGCATAAAGAACTGTTAGAAAAAAAAAAAGTCAAAATAGTTCTTAAAAGTGCCCTAAAAGGTTGCCAGGACTAGTAAAAAAGCGTAAGAAGCACGGGTGCAGGTACGGTACGGGTATGTCGATACAACAAAACCTACAAGTAGAATACGGGTACGGTCAGGTAAGTCTATAAAAAGATATATTTTCCATAATTTGCATTAGTACATGAATTATGTAAGTATTTTTGCCATGGCGAAAATTAACATGTTAGCATACACATGATAAACACCAATACTTATGCAAAGCTTCTCGATAAATATCTTGAAGAGATCAAAGTTTCTAGCTAAGGCTCCTGGACTCTGTAGTAAAACTACTGAACGACATTACTAATTTCAAATAAAACATATAAGATTGATTGAACAACTACAATTAATGTTGATAACTATCTACCCAGTGTAAACGTAAATGACGAAAGACACTTCAAAATATATGTTAGAATGGTCTGATTAAATTACCTGCAATGGAACTACATTAATTACTGGTTGAAGACAGTCCTCAACCTGAGGGACTTCAATTACTCTACAAGAACCACCCACACTCACAGATGCTGCATCTCCTTTCGAACACATAACAATGAGTCGACCTTTGCGAGCATGAAGTTGCTGAATAACTGATTGCTGCTTGCTGTGCACAAACAAGAACATGTCAGCAGAAAATGACATTCGCAATTTCAAAAGATGTAACTGTTCTTTATCATAGCAAAACTAACCTGAAACAAGCGTCACGGGTAGCAATAACAACAATTGGCAGATTTTCATCAACCAAAGCCAGAGGACCATGTTTCATTTCACCAGCAAGTATACCTTCACTGTGCATAAGTGCCACCTCCTTCACTTTCAAGGCCCCTTCAAGAGCTGTTGCATAGTTGTATCCTCTCCCAAACACAAGCAATGACTGCTCAGCAATCAATAGTTTCGCAAGATCCTTCATTTCCTGGTCAAGCTTCAGCACCTCTCTGACTTTGCCTGCAAAATAAAAAATTATAAATAATTAAAAAAAATGTCCAGATATTACAAAATGAGCATTTTTAACAACATACCACCTTGACCATAAATAGAAAGGGAAATTGTGGTTTAGTGGGAACCATACAAAATAAATGCAATTTTCATAGAGTTGCAAGTGGGTCTATGTCCGGTGCAAGTGCAAGTCGTGGCGTGGGGCACAACACCCACTTGTACCTCTATGAATGTGCAATTATTTTGAGTTGTTCTCACTAGATCTCACTTTCCCCTAAATTGAAAGTCTATGAAATCTGCAACATGACAAGGAAAGAAATCAATAAAACATACTTGGCAATTCAAATAGGCCATCTATTATAGCCTCTCTTCTTGCTTGACTGGATATTGCATCACCACCAATTGCCAGTGCTAGCATAGCCATCACTACTATTTGACTAGTGTATGCCTGTTGGCAGAGGTAATGAGATAAACTCAAAATACGACACTGATAAAAAAAAAAAATTAAATAAAAGCAAAATTTTATACCTTGGTACTAGCCACACCAATCTCAGCACCAGCATTTATATGGACACCACAGTGCGTGTTCCTGGCAATTGCACTACCAACAGTATTTGTAATGCCAACACATAGTGCACCATTTTCTAATGCATACTCTAATGCATGTAATGTATCTGCAGTTTCACCAGATTGACTAACAAAAACAGTTGTATCTTCTCTGTATATTGGTCCCTGCCTATCCAACAGATCACTAGCAACCTCCATTGTAACAGGAATACCTGTGAATATTAAAAATTCAAATAGTTTTAAGTTAATCGATAACATCAAATTCAAAATCTGCTGACATGACATGCAAAAAGTACTTACCAGAAAGTTCTTCCAATATAGGTCTTGCAGCTAAAGCAGCATTATAGCTTGTGCCACAGCCAATAAAAACAATACGCCTGCTTCTCCTGATAGTTCTCAGGTGATCCTTCAGACCACCCAAAAGAACACGTTTCGCTTTGCATAAACCTCCTTGTATAAGTCTGCCTCGCATTGTTGTTGTCAGAGATTCTGGTTGTTCATGAATTTCTTTCTGCATATAATGCTCATAATTTCCTTTATTTATTTGCTCAACCTCCATCTCAAGAATGGATAATGCACGCTGCACAGAAGCAGGTCTAGCAAGGCTGCCACTGTGTTTTCCTTTGCCATGATCAAACCTAAGGATTGACGCAGCTCCATCCTGAGGCAACCACCATCAAAAGTAAATTACTATCTATAGAGTAATTATATGCAAACAGAAAATTCATACAAAATTTTCATACAGAATGATGTGTCGCAATATGGACTTTTCACTTTAAACTATAACAACAATGAAGATGGCATTGCCACATCATTCTTGTGAGAGTTTTTTGTATGAATTTTATGTATCAATAGATTTTTCCATATCTATATACGTGTGTTCAAAGTAATTATACTAGCTGACATCAATCATAATAGAAACCTCACAATTAATGAACACATTGCTGAGCTCAAAACACTAGATCGTTTAAATATAAAAGCGAAAGAAAGTGATCAAGGAAAGAATCTAACCAATGGTAAATAAAACAGCTCAATTAAAAAAACACATGGACGTTTTTCATGACATATCAAACCTAAAAAAGCAGTTACAAATCCCTATACAATCATATTACTGAACAAGCGAGGATTTTGTGGCACCTTGGTATCTCAAGCCCCTGATCATAGATAAATAAGCAGATTGTAAGACAATGAGATCAACACCTGGATATTAATCTAGTTGTACTGCTAGTTAGTATTAGCAGTTCTCATCCAGGGCTGCAGTTTTTATTTATCTTTTTTACAAAAATAATGTAAGTATACTGGCTGCCACTCTATAGCCTTGGGGATTTGGGTAAGCACTGGAAAACAAAATGCTTCCAATGTGGAATGAATAAGGACTAATCTAACACCAGCTAACGAAAACATTTCATTTTAACATCTGTAACTTCATTAACATAATTGCAGCTTAATTTTATAATATCTATGAAAGTTGGAGGTAGGGCTGTTCAAAGATCCATCCAACCTGACTAACCCGACCCGGACTGACAGCTCACTGACGGTTTTGATCACCATTTTGGTAGGCCACGAGTTAAGATTGCAGATTTTTTATTTTTGCAGTCGGCTATCGGATGAATAGATCAAAAAACGAAGAAACCCGACCCAACTGAAATATTACAAAATGTATTTTTCCAGCCAGACTTCTTTTTATTAGCTGGAGTATAACAACCTATCATCTTGACAGAAAATATTAAACAATTTTTCCTTTTTTTTGAGAAACCCCAAGTATCATTATCACATTCTTTACTTCTTTACACATAATTCAACTTTTTCACCTGCACATCATAATTACTATTACTTCATTCAACCTTTCATCTTCACATCATAATGACACTTTATTCAACTGTCTGTCTCCCCATCATCATTACATTTTCTTTTCATTTCAAAGCTCTCTCTCTCATATTTTCATTTTGTTGCTGAAGACTAGTCACAACTTGTAATAGAACCACGGTAACCTTTAGTTTGACTAGGCTTGGCCACTGCTGTTGCTTTTTGTCACCGCTGATGCTGCTTTCCGCCGCTGTTTTGCCTTCGCCATTAGAGATCCCTTTGCCGTCACTTCTCTGTCTCAGATCTCAATTTCTCCTTTATCCTCTCTGTCATTACAATCTCTTCTCTCACCCCTCCGCCTTCCCGCCTTTCTCCCTCACACCCAAAGCTCTTCTCTTAAATTAGGTCTCTTTCCCATTCCTCTCTAATCCTTGTTTTTTTTTTTTTTCATCTGAAAAAATATATATACGAGGTTAAATTTTGTTTTATTTTTTGGGGTTATGATCTGCAATGTGATGAAGATTTTTTGGTTTTGACATTTCGACCGAAACTATTCAACCTGAATATGTTTGGTTTCGAGCATTTAGCCAGTCAAAATTAGGTTCTTTCATATTCAACCCGAGATGATCGGTTAGGGTGACGGGTATATGGCAAACCCGGTCCGACCTAACCGGTGAACACCCTTAGTTGGAGATTTGAAATCCCTTTCATAGTGTACTTGGTTGCCTATCCCTGAGATTCACTGACCCACTTTCTTCGATGAGAACACTAGTAATTTATCATTAATACTACTTTACAACACAGAGATGTCTTTCTGAACCCAACCATGAAAATTGAGATATAGCATTGTGTCTATGGCAGCAACAAACAAGTGTATCCTAGAAAATTGCACATCTGCAGCTTGAATTAATGTAGTCCATCATTAAAAAGCAAAAAAGCAAAAAGCAGAAAGAGAACTTTTATTGGTCAACCTTCTTGAATTGTATGCGCAGGACTACTGGGGCATAGTCAACCAAAATTATAGCTTCAAATTTCAGGATTCCTAGCAAGGACTTTCTATTAACACTGACAAAACAGTCAGAAACCACTTCCAAATTGGACAGCAAACAAAGATCAAGAACCCAAGGACCCTCTAAGGACTGACAGCCACAAGCCTCCAAGAACTGACAGCCGCACTTGGTTCGGTAGAAGCTCCTGATAGGGAACGTACAGAAATTGGATAAGAAATAATTGAAGGTTAGGAATTTTATTTATTTAGAAGTTTTAATTTATTTAGGAAAATGAATTTGTTTAGGATTTTATTTCGTAGTTTTTGTTTGTTTGGTTTACTTACATGTATGGCTTTTATGTAAGGGTTCATCAGGCTTAGGTTTGAGTATTGATTAAATGAGATTGAGATATTGCTTTGGGACTATTCCCTGTTTTACCCTGCTCTCTGTTTTCTTCCCTTCTGTTCTTTTCTTTCTTTTATCCGTTTTCTCTTTCTCTCTTATCCTTCTCCCTGCTGGTGCTACATCAGCTCGTCAAGACATTATCATTTAGAAAAGATTAAATCTTTGAGATTTGGTAGATTTCAACACAGAGCAAGAAAACTAGTTTGTGAAATACAGTTACTAGTACACAAGATAAAAATAAAATAGATAATCTACATATTATACAAAATAAATAAAAATAGTGATAGCTGATTTTCAGGTTTTTAATCAGAAACAAAACTGAACAAGTACTCTCATTTTCTCCGCCTCTATAAAATAAATAGAATGTAATCCTCTCATTCCATCCATCATCACATCTAAAGGACGATGCACTCCCCCAGTATATTTTGCCAAAGTCAACTGGTGATAGAGCAATTCATCTTGTGGAAACCAGGCAGGGCCCCGAGATATACAATCATACATCAGGACTATCCTCCCCCAAACATTGTCAAAGAGAATTCTCTTCATTTGTTCTTTTGCACAATCTCGAGTGTTTCATTTATGTAGTATAAGATTTCACCATTTCTCTATAGGATACACCTTTGGTGTCTCGAGATAATCCAGTGCTCCACATAATGATTTCTATTGAACAAAATTAATTAGGCCTGAATAATACGGGATAAAATTGCATCTTGGCTCCCCTGAAATTTCACAAGGTTATATGACCACAAACTAGTTTCATTACCAAGTTCAAGATTGCAATCCTTTGTACCAAACATTATAGTTTAAGTTTTCCAATTCCTAGCATTACATCTCCACCTAAAATTTTTTCACCTCAAAGGTGACTAAAGTTTGATACAGCGCTGAATAGAGAGATAAATGGAGAAAATACAGATTCATGTGGTATCAGGGCTCTCTAGGATAGAATGGAGTTCGGGTGACATGAAATACTGACGCCACGTCTGGATTGAGGGGATGTGAATGGAAGTGCATGACCTTCCTTGTTAGAGTTTTTAAAAAGTATGAGAAGGGTCAAAGGGATGGTCAAAACCATTTTATTCCACCTTTTGTTCACCTTCAAAATTGAGAGCTTTTGGAGGGGAAATGAAGAGAACTAGTGATTACCGATGTTTCCCTTTTAAAAAAAATTCTAGCAATGCCCTTACATACACATAGGAATAAAATATTCCACCATTCCCTTCAGTTTCCTTTCTCTCCAAACAACATTACTTCTCTCCCCTTACTTTTTCCTCCCAAAATCAATTAAACACACAGAAGAAACAAGCACAGATATTGTCATTCTCAAAAGAGAATGAGATGCATACCAAGTCCACAAGAACAATATCAACCACTTGTGAGTGATGGAAAAATAAAATACCTTCAGATGAACAACTTCACCATCCTCGATTACCAAGACCTTTTTTGTATGTTCAACTACAGCATTTGCATCACTGGACAGGAAGAGTTCTTTAGGTTGCTCATTCTTTGTAAGAAATTTATCATCATGAAAGGATGGGCCATTGCTCATTTCTTCTCTAAACTCCTGTAATCACAGCAATTTAAATTGATGAAACCAGGGTAACGTTAAAAAAACTAAAATAATAACCACCCAAAAAAATAAAATCTAAAATTTCTCCCCTTTTTAATTTAGGGTAATTTTGTCAAAGCCCCCTCATAATAAAACTTTCATGCATTAGGGACAAGTTTCATTGAAAAGTCCAACATAGATCACTATTACCAAAATATCCTTAGTGAGTAATTTAATATTTTAAACTTTAAAATGATACAACTTTTGATTTAAATGTCGCTTTTTTATAAAATTAGTATTTTTAGAATCCTCTCGTCATTAACCTCACAACAAACAAAACATCATTATTCAATTATATTCAATAAAAAAAAAATAATCATAACAAATGAAAACACATTGTTTAATCTCCAATCTCACAATTATTCACTATTTCATCCAAAGAAACAAACAAAATACACATTTCTTGTATGGCTCAATCGCAAATTTTGATCCAAACAATCATTGAAATACAACAAACAAGATTTGCATTAAAGTTTGAAAATCAAATACGCAACACAACTCAATACTCCAAAAGACAAAGCAAGATACAAAACAACAATCCAATCTTCCAAATAGAAAAACACCATAACATAACACCGAAGATGGAGAGTAGTGAATGGCCTCCACCATGGCAACAGTCTCTTTGACGGTGGTGGAGGCCAACACCACTAAAAGATTTATTGTAAATCTATACCATGTATATCGAAGGGTAGGATTGTCCATGAAAAAATGAAAACAAATTTTTTTTGTCCTTCATGAAGGAAATTTATGTTCTAGACGGGGTTTACAAATTAAAAAAATTGAGGTTGTCCTTTTCACTAAAAAGGGGCCCAACAAGAGGGTTTTAGCTAAAAAAATCCTTTAAATTTTTAACCAATAGTCTTGAAATAATAGCATGTAATCTCAACAAAGAAATATTTCTTAGACAACATCCCCAAAGCAGAATTTTTCGCCTTCAAGGTTTGGATCTATCCATGCAACCACTCCTAAGTAACAACATACTACAACAAATGGAAACTTAATGAGAATCATGTCACGCCCGAATTTCATAGATCAATTAGGCGGAAACCAATTAAACTAAAAGTGAGGTTTTTAAGTAGAAACTCTCTTTATTACTTTCTTCATTGTAAGATAAGAAGTTTTGAATATAACAGAAATATATTCCTTCTTCCTCATATTTTCGGAGTTCTTCTTCCTCATATTTTCTAAGTGGTTATCTCGTAAAACGTGTCCAATGGCCTTAGATTGTATGAGGTTAGAAAATATGTCTATTTTTCCTTTATAGAGCCTAATTTAACTTTAGGTGGCAAACAAAGTGTTTTTGATAAAATTTGGCTTGTATTGGGAAGCTGTTTGATAATTTTTTTTGAAATAATCCGCCTTTAAGTTCAAAAATTCTAGTGTTCTCTCATACACTAAACGCATCCTCACTTGGCGCGTAAACCCATAACATGAAGTACATCATACAATGATGTTTAAGTTACAAACCCAAAATTAATTAATACAATAATTCGACAAAAAGGTGTAAAGGCACGTTGACCCAATTAACCTAGGGCTAAACTTAACAAAACAGATTACATCCCAACGCTCATGCCGGCGGGTGTCCATTGAAACCTACACAATGCAAGGAAGGGTGAGTATTGACACTCCCCCTATAGTAATATCATTTCTTACTAAGTGAACATGTTAGTGTTGTGACAAGTAAAATTATGCAATGAAATGCCCAATTTCTGGATTAACTAACTTAATCTTATTAAGTCCATCTTATTTAATTAACTCACACTAGGATAATTAAATAAAAGAAATAATTTGAAATTAATAATTGCCAATAGGGCATCACTAACTTGCCAACAAGGCAATAAACCCAACCTCGCCAACATATACCGCGTCCAAACTGTAAATAAGTACATAATAGGTCCTACCCTAATCACACCCCAGGCTCCCTCCAAGCTGAGTGTCACAAAGAAACTCATCCTCACTCAACCATCGGGGGCTCCTACTCCTCTAAACTGCGTAGTGTCTGAGGGATTAACTAGCAGATAGTTGGATGCACTATCTTCCTCGAGTGTACTACACCACAATACCGGCTATACGGCTATAACCCGGGCTAAGCCCGTAAAATCAATAATACCAGGACATGCCCAGAAAACAATTAAGTATAGTAAATACCAACACCAGTTATTTAATATTTAGTTAGATTCCCACTTTTTCATACTTTGAGTAATTTCCAACACAAAACATTTTTTTATCAGCAATGCTTTTTCTAGCCAATTTCACCAATTTTCCCCTAGGGCTATAATAGTAATATATGTGAAATGGCCAATATGCTTCTAAAGCACAATTTACCAAATTACCCCTAAGATTTTAATTACTAGAATGCCCTCAAGGCATGAGATTACCAATATACCCTTCATTAACCCCAAGTTAATTTCCTACATGGCAATTTCAATCAAATAATTCAAAATATTCCCAAATGACTATTTTACCCCTAAAGTGTTAAAATTACCTTGTTGCCCTTATAAATCCCAAATTCATTAAATAATACAATTATAAAAGTAACTCATAAACACAACCAAAATAATAAAATAGTCATGGAATTTGGAAACATATATTTTTAAGAAACTAGTAAGCAAAAGTAAGGTACAAATTATGGGAAGAATAGTAAATCAATTCTAAACCACACCATCTTTTAGATTAACTCATTTTAACCCATGATTAATCTAACTACATCATTTTCCCCAATTTCTATCAAAAATTCGAAGTAGTCCAAATCACATGTTCTTCATACCATGGCATTAGTCATTAAACATGTCGTAGATTACACTTAAGAAGCCCTAAATTAATGAATTAATACTTTTCATGATTTCAAGATAAGTATTGGCAATATTATATTAAAAGATCCTGAAATTGCATAATAAGAACACTTTCAGAGATTTCAAGACAAAAATCCAGCTCTAACTTAAAAGTGTCTCAAGAAGGCATGAATCAACTAAATAACTCTTGGTGTAGAACAAATACACACTAATCATGCTTCCATAGATAAAATCGTGCCATAAATTTTGAAATGAAAACCTAGCATGCTTTCTAAGCAAGTGATAAGAAAGCCCACCTCTTTGAAGCTTGAGCAATTAAACAATGGGGGAAAGAGGTTGAAAGAGAAAGATGTTCCAAGAACAAGCCTTGTTGATACAGAACATAAGAAGGTCAAGGAAAAGTAAACTCAAATAAGTGGCGAAATTTGGAAATTGGCATGATTTTAAAGAAAAACTAATAGGAACCATTCATAATCATGTTTCTAGTATTATTAGTGTTATTTTATAATTATATTTATGTTTTCTAGGATTTTAAGCTTGGTGGTATTTTGGTAATTTGCAAAAGTTCTAAATATGGGTTTTGTGAGTCGTCCATGGGTTGTCTTATGGGTCAAGTTATTTAATTAGTTTTTATTTATGTTTCTTATTTGGTTTTAAATTAGTTTTGGAAGTCTAAGATATTATAATAGTTTCTTTTTTTTGTTCGAGTTGGTTTAGGAAGCCTCTAAAGTCTATATAAAGTCATGTAATGCCTCTAATTCAAGGGAATTGATATTTTATAAAAATTTGAGAGTTTTGAAGCTTCTTTATGGATTGTGTGATGCAATCAAACCCTAGGTTATGGAATCTAGGTGTGATACTAGACCTATCTTCTTCTCTTCTTTCTTCTTTTTTTTCTATTTCAATTTAATATTCTCGGATTACTATTCACAGTCCTCTAAAAGATCACTTTTCAAAACCTTATCCATTCATCCCCAAAGCAACCCTAATTCCTTTTCCTACCTATTAGCCTTTAATTTCACCCTTAAAACCTATATCACAAGGACTCGGGTACGGGTACGGATACGGGTGTTGAGTACTAGTATGTATCTAGATGTTGGACTCATCAAACCATAAATTTAAGGGTACCCGAACTTGGCAAAAAAAAAATTGTCATTTTTTATATTTTTAATCAATTATGTGAGATAAAATAGTGCTATATGTAATTTATAGTGTCAAAAAGACATTCATAGCAATTATACAACAATATGTACATTTAATAATAGTGTTATATACAATTATATAAAAAGTATCCATTAAAAAGTATTCGACAGATATCACATACCCTTATCTAAGTATCAAATGTCCGATACAAGTATTTGATTTATTTTGAAGAGTCTGTATAACAGAGCTTAAAACCCTAAAGTACACACTGTTTAGGCCGTCAAATAGCCTTTGTTTTGCAAATCCACTACTTGTCCTGCATCACTTGTCCTTTAACTTTAATCTTCAAAGCACACTAAAACCATTCAAGCCACGGGTTTTGTGTCAGAATTCTAGAAAGAGGAGGACAGAAATTTAGAAAGGGAGAGAGAGAGAGAGAGAGAGTCACGTTTTTGGGGATGGAGTCGCTGAAATGAGGGATTCTTCCCCTCCAACTCAACCCCCAACAACCCTAAATTAACCCCAAGTTAACCCTTAATCAAAATTGTAACTAATGGCTAAGATTGAATCTTGAAAACCCCTCAAATCCTCACTCTAGATTCAAAATCAGATTTTTGTTCATATAGATCATGTGTGTAAAGCTTGGTGAAGCCCATGTGACCCCACTTTCCCCATTTGTGAAAGGTGTAAAAATGTGTAAGTTAAGGAAGAAAGTTCACATGCTAGGCTTAGGGAAAAGAGAGGGCTGGTTTTATTCCTGAATAGACGGATTTTCTGTGTAATTCTGTATAGTACTTACAGTCTCCCTTGTTTCCATTTACCGAACAACAATTTCTGTGTAACCTACACAGTTTTTATACGCTTTATGTACACAAACCAAACCAAACCAAACCAAATCTTAAATCCCATCAAATGGGGTCGGCTACATGAATCTTTCTTCTCCACTTGACTCTATTAGAGGCCATTTGGTTAGTCAAAATAAGGAGATTCATATATCTATTTACTACACTAGCCCACATCAATCTAGGTCTGCCCCTTCCCCTAACCTTTACATCTACCATTATTGTATCGCATCTCTTCACTACTGTCTCTGATGGTTTCTATTGTATATGATCAAACCATTTCAATCTATTCTCTCTTAGCTTATCTTCTATTGGTGCTACTCCTACCCATTCAAGAATAGACTCATTTCTAACTCTGTCTTTTCTACTCTTGCCACACATCCACCTTAGCATCCTCATATCAGCAACACTCATCTTATGTACATATTGTTTCTTAGTTGCCCAATATTCCGTCCTATACAAAATCACTGGTCTAATAGCCATTCTATAGAACTTTCCTTTTAGACTAGTGGGCATTCGTTTATCGCATAGTACCCCAGATGCACTCCTCCATTTAAGCCATCCCACCTTAACTTTATGGACCACATTTGCTATAATCTCCCCAACCGTTGTGATAATTGATCTTAGATAACAAAAATGTTTACTCTTGGATAGTTTTTGGTCAACTAAAATTAATAAAATACAGATAAATAACACAATTAATAATTATCAGGCCAAGAGAATCCATATCTCGAATCTCATATTAGTTCGGGCCCGGGTGCACACAAATTGAGACAATTGTTGCACTCCCTTTCTCAACATGCAATTAAATTCTATTTGTACATGATTGACCATATGATCATATTAACACACATCTACTAGGCTCGGAGAGTCTGCCTCTTGAGACCCGGGTTGGCTCGGGAATCAATGCACACAAACCGAGACGATCAGTTGTGCCGAAAATGAACTAACGGAGGTTTGAATTGAAATGAATAGAGAAACTTGTGAGCTTATTTATAATTAATTAAACTTAACTAGGACTCAGTTAGATTAAAGAAAAGTTCAGAATTTTCCCGGTCATAACAAATGTCCCATTTCCATTTAAAATGAAAGTTGCCCATCCAAACAAAACAATTCAATACCATTAAGGCAATGAACAAACAATCATTTAAAATTTGTAAAAACAATAGTTTTATAGAAAAGAAAAATAAAATTTCCATGAATTTTTGTTGCTAAATGTGAAAAACAATAATATACAATCTCAAAAACTTCATCTAACTAGAGTAACCTATACAATCACTTCCTTCAATTGTTGCTAAATGTGAGGGCACATGTGATCATATATTTCTTGAGGTTTCATATGATGTGCAAATACAAAATAATTCTCTTAAACTGGTCACATAATTACTTTATCATATGTCAAAATCCATATCCAGCTGTATATACTGTATCTAACCAGATCCCACTTCTAGCTTAAGGCAAAGAAACTATGATAGATGCTGATTATCCAAAGACATCAGTATTGACTTACTTTTACAAAAACCAAGATGTATCAGCAAACCAAAATACAAAAAGGCCCCAGTACGCCAAAAAAAAAGAGCAAAGAAAAGACACAAAAAAAAAGAGAGGATGACAGATGACTCTATTAAAGTAAATTGTCTGCCATGAGACAGACAAACCACTCCTTCACTATTGTAGAGCGGCTTCACTCGATCAATGCTACAACATTTTAGTCTTTAATTGAATTATTGAAATATCAATACTTTTATGAACTTCATTTTTGCAACAAAGATCTTGTTCAAACATAACTTACCTTGACACCAAGGAGCAATGGACTACCACGTTTACAAGCAATCAATTCATTTGGATAATGCCTGCTTTTGAAAATGAGAGCATACGCTCCTTCAAGATGCCTCATAACTTCAAGCACCACTTGACTGAAGGTGACAGTCTGATCACCTGCAACACAAAGTTGCACTCATTTGAAATCTTAAAGTGATCATAGACATTTATGTGCAATCAAAAGCATTTCACTGCAAAGTGATTCATTATAAAGTAATAAGAAGCACATTTAGTTTCTCCATCATAAACAACAAAATAGATAACAAATAGTGAACATTTTTGTTGCCCAAGTTCGATTATTAAAAAGGATGGTGAGGTTAGTGAGATGTGATCCATAGTGACTCAAGTGGAGGAATGCACCTGGCATATTATGTGATCAACGAATACCAACAAAATTGCAAAAAGTAAGTTTTATTTATAGAACCACTATAAGTTTACAAGGCACAATGCTTGGCAACTAAGAAAAAACATGTTCATAAAATGAGTGTAACTGAAATGAGAATGCTTAGATGGATGTGTGGTAAGATTAGGAAAGATAAATTTAGATACAAATATATTTGTGAAATGACAAAAGTAGTATCAATTGACAATAGTAAAGGGAAATGTTAGGAGGGAAAACCTACACTGACTTGGGATACGATAGTAAAAACATATATGAATTTATTTAATTTATCAGAGCATATAGTCCTTGATAGAGTGAACGGCGAAAAGGATTCATGCAGCCGACTCCACTTAAGTGGGACACAAGGCTTAGTTTGGTTTGGTTTGGTTGTCAAAAACAATAGCACACATCCAAAGTCCATTCACCAAAGGATAATTATGACTCTTTGAAGCTTTTGTTTCAAAAGAACTCACATCGTTTTTGATCCATTAGTTCAAAAGCATTCTTATTGCATGAAGCACTTAGGCGCAGGAAAGAGCTTTCTTTTTTTTGTTGGGGTAAGTGAAAATATTAAAAAAGAACGCCCAAATAGTACACATTAATGTGTGTTTGGAAGGGAAATGATTGGGTATACACTTAACCTTTGACATAGTGCACAAAGTGATTGTCCCGAGACTTGAAAATCTCAAGGTTATTAAAAGAAAATATTATTGAAAGAAAAAGGATACAAGTATGAAGGAGGGGATACTCTCCAGAGAGCTTTATTAATGCTCTAACAGACGAAGGATATCACCACTTCAAGGCAAAAGCCATCAAGGCAAACATACGTGATTCCATAAATATTGCACAACCAACAATAAGTTCTAGAAAAATCAGTGTGGGAACTACGTAAGTGGCACTGGTCATTACACTTCACCTAGGAGTTGGATTTCCATCATAACACCCAGGCTGGCTAGGGCATCACTGGCAGTAATGTAGCTAAAATTTCAAACCCCTGAAGAAAATTAAAATCATTGTTAGAGCTTAATATACATTTTGGGCCCCCATTCCTTAACAACTTAAGCTTTTGGATCAATTGGTGATCTAACATAGTATCAAAGCTTTAGTTGTAAGCTAAGAAGTACGGACACGGGACATAGGACACGGCGATTTCAAAAAAATGGAGACCCGGACATGGGGGGGATACCAATAAAATATATTTTCATATATTTTTATTTGCTATCTAAATTAATATTACATCCACAAACAATCGATATTAACAAAAACTAACTCTAATTCTTTTCTTCTTTTTTTTTAAAAAAAAAAAACACTTCTAAATTAACACTTACGGTTTATATTTTGTTTATGGATGATCTATTAAGTATTTAAATCTAAGAAAAAAAATAATAAACATTCATCATTCATCAAAAGTACTAAATAAAATGGGTGAAAAGACAACTTGGCATGTCTCTAGTGTGTCCCCGAAGTGTCCCTGGCGTGTCCTCTAAAAATAAATTAATTAAACAAGGGGACACGCCATGTGAAGTGCTCCATACGTGTCCCCGAATAGTCCGTGTGTCCGACACGGATACGGCACTTGTTTTTAAGTGTCGGTGCTTCATAGGTTTGAAGAGGTTATGAGTTCAAGTCCCATGTGCATCTATTTCCCATTTATGTTATGGACTCGACTCTATTTGTGCATTTGCACCCAATTCCATCTGTTTCTAAATCCACATGCAAGATGGAATTTCACACCTGGAAGGATGTTAGAGCATGATATACAAATTTGGGTCCATTCACTAAGAGTAAACTTTTAGGGGTGATTAACAACTATCACACAAACTCTAATCTGGTTATAATCGTACCTTCTTCATTTGCTTTGTCAAAAACAAATTTTGCAAGCTTTGGAATCACTTCTGTATCTGTTTCAGATTCAAAGGTGAACCCATGTCGGAGTAGTGTTTCCTTCAACACCTGAAGATTACATGCACAATACATCAGCATCAGCATCAGCACATTAATTAAACAGGAAGCTGCTCAATAAGAAAGAACTGATAAAAAATAATGCTTTAGAGGTGGAACATTATCCAAAGGGCATAAACATGGGGTGGAAATTACAAACATCTACATAATCATAGAGAAAATTAGAAAGTAAGAAGTTGAGTAAGTAGAGAAAAAGGGAAGAAAAAGAAGAAAAGCATAAAATATCTCATACGACGCGAATAAAAAATGAGGGCATAAAAAGCCAAACACAAAAAATTGCATAAACAGCAACAAAAATGGATAAATGAAAACTTTCCTTATTCCATCATTGTAATCTCTCTTATTTCATCAATCTCTATATTTGTTTCTCTCTTTGAACTAAATTATTTAAACATTAAATGAATTATATAAATAAACTTTTAAGAGTCTTTGTTGACTCAATTACATATACTCAAAGAGCATTTGGTATGAATGTATTTCTTCTTTGTTTTCAGCAATATATATTGTAAACACTGAAATTTTAAGATGATTTACTCACCGTTCAATTTATCAAGACAAATTAAATTATCTTGGTCGATCAAAATTCAAGAAGATCAAAATTCTCAGTGTAATGTGGGTCTTGCCAAAATTATTGGACTTAAACCCATTTTTATCATGGGTCATACCAAGAGCAAAAGGACAACCCGTTTTGATAATTGGATCAAGTGGTTGGGTCAACCCGAGGATGTGGGTCCCACAGAGACACTTATCAAATTCTCTTAATAAATAAGAAGTTGTGGAGCATTTAAATTCAAATTCAAATTCAAAATCATATCATTTCCATAAAATAAGATACAAATTTATCTCATTTTGGAAGTCACAATCAAATCAAATATTGATTTATGGGATTTCCAAAATTAACACCCCATCCTTTGAGCCTATAAATAGAGGCTCTCATTCATGGAGGAGGGGACTGTGGGCTGAAGACTTTGTAGAAGCTCTGAAGCATTCTTCAAAAACCCTCAAGCTATCAAGCATTTTTCAAGAAGCATAGAATAGAAGATCACCAAGCACATCAACGATGTGCCACATCTCCTACGTGTTCAAGCATCAAGCCCGCCAAAAGATTGATTCGTTGTTTGTTCGAGATCAAGCTATTCAAGTCATCAATCAAGCTTCTTTCCTCAATCTTCTTTGTGTGAAGACTTGAAGAAAGTCGTTAATTCATTCGGTTCAACAACAAGCTTCTACAACCATTGGGTTGCAATCATACCAGGAGATTAAATAAGAGGATCACCATTGTAATTGGTGTAACCCACAGAGAATTGTACCCATTTTATTTAAATTAATAAAATTCATTATTTGTGCATTTATTTTCTATCTTAATTGCAGGATACGAAATTTGTGTGCACTATATAGTTAAACCCAACTAAATTTATTGAACTATGTTTAATAATAGTTGATTAGGTCTCATGTGATAATTTCATTTTGATAAGCACAAGGATTAATTTTACATCACGGAAAGACATTTTACAAAAGTACAACCTATAATTTCATTAAATGTGAAAGCCATTTTTATTTTTAATTCACAACTACAGTTTTTGGGAGTAGTTTTTGTCTAGCATGGTAGTTTTGATTCTAGGAGATTTTGAGCTAAGCTCTCTCAATTTGTACTTGTGTTCCCATTGTGTTTAACCATATGCATTGTATTTTGTTTGTATGTTAACCCCCTTGTTCTTTGCTTGTTCTATTGGTTTCACAGATAAGGGAAGAGAGTGACAACTTGTCAGTTTCATATACGTTGTTTAGTAGCCTTGTCTCTAACGACTTCCGCTGTTGGGGCAAGCAATTGTAGAGCAGTAGCTATAAAAGTCAATGAAAGTGATAAAAGAACAGATACGTACATCCTATCTTCTTCTTTTTTTTTCTTTTTTCTTTTTTGATCAAGTACATCCTATCTTGTACATCAGAAGACAAAACATGGAACGTCATCAAAGCCACGATAGAAAGAGTAAGGTGCCCCAAGATCTTAACATCATTTTGGGTGGGGGAGAGAGAGAGAGAGAGAGAGAGAGAACCCATAGAAACAAAAAGTGAGAAAACACCAAGAAGAAATTTGCACTACCACGCAAACAATCAATAGCAACCCAACAACCAAGAACTCCACACCTTTCACATATGGTTTCTTTCTCTATTAAAATGAGATTAAAGGCAAAAAAAGATGGGATATCCACACATCATAGCTACATCTCTAACCCCTGCCCTAAAGCCATTGAAGCATCCATCATTAGCAGCCCCACCTATCATCTAGCTCAAAGCTTCCATAACAAAGAGAAACACAAACAAAGACAAAGGATCTCCTTTCCTCAATCCACCAGAGCTCTCTAAAATCCTTTTAGGAACCCCATCCACAAAGATAGTTAAACATAAATTAGAAATAGGCAATTGAAAAAAAAAAAAAACCCACCTTCCCTAGTGTTAAGTGCTACGGAGTCCGTATTTTATTTTTTGGAAGGGTATTTATGCACTTTGGTTCCTGTTAATATAAAGATGAGTGCAGAAGAAAAGAACCATAATTTTTTGGTTCTCTCTCATTAAGTTGTATTTTGTCTTTCTTCTTTCTCTCTATTCTCTCCCTCTTTTTTCTCTCTCTTCTATACAATTAAGATGGTATCAGAGCAAGGTCTTTGTCCTTGAAGACTACTCTACTACTTTTTTTCTTCTCCTTTTTCGTATTTTCTTCTTTTTTCATTTTTTCATTTTTTTTTTTCTGTTCAGACATTAAATAATAATAATAAAATAAATAAATTTATCAACTAGGGGTGGGTAATCCCCAAAGTTTTCCTCAAAATTTTTTATGATAGTTAGCTATTTTTTCTTTATTTTCAGGAAAAATGGTCGATTTTCCTTGAATATGTGATTGGGTCGGATTGAGACGAAACTTTTGGTTGGAACACCCTCCCTAGATGCCGATTTGAACATTTGAGGCAGTCCCTACCATCTAATGTGGAGCTTTGTCCCTTGTTTAGGGTCTACAGTGTTCAAGTTTGTTTATATGTATGGAACAGTGTGCTTCGGTGGCTTTCTCTATGAGTTGCTGAGTTGTTTTCATTTCATCATCACCTATTTGAGTTGTTAAACTTGTTAGCTTTTCTTTGGTTAATTATATGTTATGTTGGTGTTGAGGTTTGCTTGAGTCAATTTTTCCTTGTACACCATTCCAATAGTCATGTGATTGTTTTTGTACTAGTTCTTTGTACAGATGGCTGAAAGTAGTAAGGATAACAAGGCTAGTGAGGAGGAGAGTTGGTTGAGTCCTTTTGTGATCCTTGAAGATAGCCCATCTGTTCAGACCAGCCCTGTTAAACTGGATGGTACCAACTACTTAATTTGGTATTGTTCATGTAGTCTGGCTATTGCTTCACATCACCAGACTGGGTATATCATTGGTGTACTCAAGGAACCTCCAGAAGATGGGCTTGCCAGGACTCAGTGGCTTTCAGAGAATGCTCTAGTTATGACCGGTTGATTAATTGCATCCAACCTACTAACTCCTGTGATATTAGATACTGCTCATAAGATTTGGACTGCAATGGCGAAAGACATTTATAGAAAGGCAATGATGCGTAGGCTTATGAATTATGATAACAGATTCAGGGGCTGAATCAGAAGGACCAAAATCTTAGAAAGAACTTTTAGGCAATTTGTTCTAAAGATGCCACTTGGTTTCAACAGACAGTAGAAAAGGAGAGAATTTATGACTTTCTTGCCAGTCTTAACTTGGAGTATGATCAGATCTAGGTACCATGCAAGTGTTAGGTCGAGCTCCGTTTTCCACTTTGCAAGGAGCCTATGCGATTGTTTAGCAAGAGGAGAGTCGATGTAGTGCCCTGGTACATTCCTCTCATCAAGATTGCTCTACTTTCGTTGTTATCCCTATCGCCTGAGACGGTAAAGCAAGTCAGCCTAAGTTTGGAGGTCTGGGTAATTCTGTTGATCGTAATCTACTCAATTGTGATCATTGTGGCAAAGAGAAACATTATAAGGAACACTACTGGAAATTGAATGGTCGACCTACTTGAGGCCGTGGTACTAGTCGTGGTGGTGGTATGCATTCATAGGCACATGTATCGAGATTTTTGCTTGTTCTACTAGTGACATTGATACTCTTCAGAAGAGCTGCAAAAGGCATCTGATGGCTCAACTTGTCTACCACAACTTCTACACTTGCTTCTTTTTCGAAATTTGCTCATACAAGTATTCCTCCTAGTTCTGTTAGTGCTTCCTCTTTACTTCGTAAATGGTAGATTCTGGTGCCACTGACCATATGACAAAGTCACCTACCCTTTTTTATTCTTATTCTCCTTGTTTTGGTAAGGATAAGGTAAGGGTTGTTGATGGTTCCTTGTCTTCTGTATATGGGAAGGTTCTATTCACTATTCTCCGTTAATTTCTCTCTCCTCTGTTCTTCATGTGCCTAAATTTTCCACTTACTTTCTATTAGTAGTCTTGCCACTTCTTTGAGCTGTTATGTAACTTCTTTCCCTATTGTGACTTTCAGGAACTGGATAGGAGGTGAGCGATTGGTAGTAGTAAAGCACAATGTGGTCTGTACTTTCTGGATATCGTGACTCCTTTACCTTCATCCTCTGGTTAGGCTCTTCAAGTTACTATTGGATCATCCCTTCATCTCACATTAGTGGCATCATCATCTAGGTCACCCTTCTTTTGGCATTTTAGGGAAACTTTTTCCTCAATGAAAGATGGTCCTAGGAATAATTTTGTTTGTGATGTTTGTAAGCTTGCAAAGCATAAACGATCTTCTTATCCTTTTGTTAATAAAATAAGTGTTTTTCCCTTTATGCTTATTCATACTAATGTTTGAGGTCCTCGTGTTGTTTTTATTTATGGTTATTGGTGGTTTGTCACATTCATTGATTGTTATTCCCATGTTACATGGATTTATTTACTTCGTGCGAAGAGTGAGGCTTTCTCGTGTTGTACTTCTAAAACCTAAAAGTTATAGTTTCAAACCAAGAGTTTTCCAAAATATCTTCCAATGACAAACTGCAATTCATGTTATAATGGAGAGCTATTAATGTATGAAAATTAAAATGTATCATGAACACAAATAACACCTTTGAGATAGTATTGAGGAATATCTATTTGCAAAATGTTATGCTTATGATAATCACAATTCACAATCCATAATTTAAATAAGAATACAAAACTAACTATAGAATCTTAAGCAAACCTCATAATTAGTGACAACTCCATTGTGAACAACTAAGAACTCGTTTCCAGCACCAGAGGTTTGAGGATGACTATTCCTTGGAGCTGGCTCCCCATGGGTTGCCCACCTGGTGTGTGCTATTCCGGCATGAATAGAAAAGGATTCCTCCAAATTTAAATCAGTAGTGGCAACCTCTGAAAAACACCAAATTCACGATCAATTTAAACATCGATCGTGCAGACAAATCTACAAAGAATGAAAGGTTAAAAGAGTGATACATATAATTGAAAACACCACCTAGAATGTTCTTTTGTTTTCTACAAGCATAGCAAATTAATTATGCAAACTGCCCCATAATCTCAATACACAAGTGTGTTTTTAAAGTCAAATTTCCCACTTACAGTCCGTTTGGATTGGGTGATTTGGGAATAAAAATAAATAAATGCATTTCTCTTGGAAAATATCACTAATTTGGATAAGCAAAGATGAGGGAAATGGAATGAAATGGGAAAAAATTGAGAGAACCTCATTTCTCTCATAACCCCTATTTTGAGTCTCTCCAAAAGTGGAGAGATTGGGAGAGAAAAGAAACCAACTAAATACTATTTTGTTATAATACCAAAACTACCCTTTCAGATATAGAAGAAATAAAAAGACTAACTCCTATAAAAGATTAATTTGGTAATATGACATGATATCATTTCTTTTCTTTTCTTTTCTTATCTTTTATATATCTTAACCAAACAAGATGGGAAACAAATTACAATCTTTTCTTTTCTCTCCTAATTTACATAGTCATTTCTTTTATTTTCTCTCCTAGGTTACCAAAGTTCTAGGAAAGTAATTAACTATAATCATAGTTCAGTATAGAATTATCCGTGGTGCCCAGTTAATCTGATTGCTAAAAATATAGTATGCTTCAGAAGCCTAAACCAAAAAATGTGGGCCCATGTCATCCAAGAAGTCCCTTTAGTCCAAAGGATAGTGTCCGTGGTATTGAGTAGACTTGTAATTTACATTTATTTAAAGTTTCTTTAATGTTCACTTTAATTTATGTTCCTTGTATTTTAAGCATGGCTCTAAAACTCAGCCAATTTGTTGTGGATCAGCCAATACATTTTGGGTTTTTGGCCCACTGATCATACTCACGGCTGTACCTTCACCAATGAAAATCACAAACGAACCAGTTGCTTAGCAAGACAAAGCAGTTTGAAGAGAATAAAATACCAAAACTGGGGCAAACTGGCCGATTCAAACCACCAAAAAAAATACTATTATTAAGCCGTGCCACTCGGCCTAACATATGTCTCCTTGTGGGCACCAGCAGCTTTAAAGGTGTAGGAGTCCTTAGGCTTCTTTTGCTGGTTGATGCCTCACAGCTTCATCCTCTACCCAAAGAAAAATCTAAATTTCGCTGCTTGTTTTTATGTGTAACATATGCCTTAAAGGCAAAGTAAACCATCGATGTGGGATTCATTATAGCTTCTACTTTTTTGTGACTGTTCAATTGAGCTTCAAGGGATTGGTGAAGTACAGATGTATACACATAGAAAAAGCATTAGAAATATCAATATATTAATTAAAATTTGAGAAATTAAGTTTAAGAGAGTAAAAATTGTGTATCATTGAGCTTTAAAGGGATTGTGAATAATTTATCAAAAAATCACGGCCATGTCTCGTGATTCCCAATGTATCGATCACGTCTTCAGTTTTTAAACATGACACAATACATGTCACTAGTTTTAAGTCACCATAAAGATTTTTCCTTTTTTTGGATGTATTTAAATTTTTTACTTTACTGGTTTACTACGGAAGTTTCCCTTATTATGGAAAAAGAAAATATCATGAATGTGGTTTAATATTAAAAATGATAGTCTCATAAACATAAGTTCAAAATAGAAAATGTCAACATACTAATGTAAAATAAAATTACAGGAAAAGATATCCAAGTTTTGTTTAAAAAATTTAATGTAAAACAAAATAGATATAAGATAATAATTAAATAATCAAGTGAGAAAGTAACGAAAGTTTGTTCATAAAAAAAACCAAAATAATGAATGATTGGAAAGAAAAGAGAAATAGTTCATCTAACCTTCAAAGCAACTCAAAATTTCAAATCTTCTAGAACTTTAAGATTAGACACTCAAAGCATGTAAATCTAAGATTTATGCATAAGCTCTATGCGTCTTTTTTATAATTTTAACAGCTTTAAAATAATAATAATAATAATACTAATAAGTGGTCTAATATACAAAATCTATCAAAAACAGAAGCATAACGGTTGTAACGGCCATAATTGTACTGTAATGACTATCATGACCTTCACGTAACAATGGTGGCCATTACGGCCGTGAATTTCAGTCACACTACTATAACGGCCGTAACAGGTGATGGTAACTACCGAAACCGTTAGTTATGGCCCATTTTTAAAACCTTGGTTGCAGCCCATGAAGCTTATGAAGTGCCGACACTTCAAAAGAGGAGTCATAGCTACATTGAACACGTATGGTACACGAGCATAGTGGGGACACATGGGACACACCACGTGGCGTATCCATTTTTTTAATAATAATTTTTCAAAGCACACGATAGGAACATGCTTTGGGACAGCGAGACACGATTGTGTCTAATTTGAATTTTTCTAAGTCAATTTTGCTGGTCATATTATAATATTTGAAAGCACTAGGGTTGAATTTGTTTTTTTAATATATATATATATATAGAACTCATATCAAACAATTGACAATGTAACACAGATCTAACCACGATTATGAAGTTAAGAAATTGACTTCCAATGATTCCTAGAGCCTAACACAACATAGATCTAATCTCCGATAGATTTAAATTTAATTTGTTTTTTTATCTTAAATTAGTATTACTTTTCATTATTTTTTGTTGTTTATTGATGTAATATTTATATACATAACAAATAAAAATATATATAAATATTTTGTTGTCATATCCCTATTGTGTCTGTGATTTTTTTAAAATCGTTGTGTCTATCGTCTCTGCTTCCATACTTCCTAGGTTGCAGCCGTATTTCTAACCATCACTACCTTAAGGATAAACTACTAATAGGTCCTAATAGTTTGACTTCATTCCCATCAAGTTCTATTGAAAATGAGTTCTAGTAAAATAATCGCTAAAAATAAATTTTTGGGAAGATTTTTTGCACATGTCGCTAAAAATTGACAATTAGTGACTTTTTTTTGTCACGATTTTTATAAATTGTCGCTAAAACTTATAATTAGTGACTTTTTCTGTGATGAATTTTTCAATCTGTCACTAAAATTTGAAAATTAGTGAATTTTTTGGTGACGATTTTTTTAAATTGTTGCTAAAACTTATAATTGGAGACATTTTTTGTGACAATTTTCAAACTGTCACTAAAAATTAACAATTGGTGACGTTTTTTAATAGTGTTTGATGAAAAACACCATTAATTCTCACAGGACCTATCGGACAACAAGTCCACCTATTAGGACCTACGTGTAAGTCCCATAGTAGCCAAACACCTTAAAAAAAATCCAAACTCAATCCTTTCCAATCTAGAAACCCACAATCTTGCTTTTACAATTAAAAACCCTAACCCTACAAACTTCCCTTAGCTTGAGCACATCATAAAACTAATTGCCAGCTGCACTATTCCAAGTTTTCTAGTACTATCCCAGATTACTCCATTTTAGATTTTTGAGTAACATATTCACCATAGGAAAGTCATTAAACATTATTATGAATTCTAATTTAAAGTTAGATGAGTTTAGGTACTAAGTGTGGCCCACCAATTTGTGTTGGTAAATTGTGATTTTGTTTGCAAAAAATTGCAGCTCTCACTGTGATGTCACACTTCAAAGCCCAGGCTATAAATGACACCATTGCACCAACCAATGTCCCTAAAAGCTTAGAAACTAGATACATCCATAACCGAAATGCACTAAGATAAGGCTCAAAAAGTGTAAGACCCAATGTACAAGTAATTAACTTATTAATTACATGAATACCAGTGTAAGTGTGTGTGGGCGTGTATTTAGTGCTTTCATTGTACAGCTCTAGTATATGTCCACTCTTCTACCCAACAATGCCCAGGAATTCAGTGCTACAAGAAGTTAAATACGATCAAAGCTCCAAAAATTAAATATATAACACCAAACATACATTTAGTTACTGAGAAAATTAATAACAAGTAAAAGATAATAGACGGTTATGGACACGTTGTTCTGAATTCCAATAGAAGTAAAACTGGCTTAAACAAGCTCCATTGAGTAAAAATTATCATTTTGTTCAGTCCCAAATGACAAAAACCCAACAATTTGGGTTTTGACTAATTTTCATCTCCTCCACATTCTCGACAACCAAACAGAGTTTACTAGTCAATTTTTTCAATTATATTCTTCTCTTGCATTTTCCCAGTAATCAAACACAAAAAAAAACCCAATTTTTTTTTTTCTTCATAAAACGAAAGTGAATGATAAATCAATGTACAAAAGAGATCAAAAGAGATGATGATGATGATGAAAGAGAGAAGTAACCTTGGTAGACGGATTTGACGAGGGATTCGATGTTTCCTTCTTGGCGGAAGACGAGAGGAGAGAGAGGAAGAGAGGAGAAAGAAGAGTCGATGCAGATGCCGGCGGAGTCATAGCCTCTATATTCAAGACGCCTGAGGCCATTGAAGAGGACTTCGAGAATGTAACGCCTCTCTCTGTTGACGTTGTAATTCAAATACGCGAATATCCCACACATCCTCCTCTCCTCCGTTTCGATTCGATGATGCTTCGATTTCTGTTACGCCTTGTTCTTCTTCCTCGACATCCACATTCTCATGCGATCAAGGCCGAGTTAGTGAAGAAGAATCTGACCAAGAAGACACAAGAAGTTGCTAGTCTGCTTTCTTCTCTAAACAAGGCTGAGACCCGCATTCACCTCTCATGGACAAGGCCAATGCTGTTAAGTCTGCCTAGCACAAAGCCAAAGGCTATGGCGAAAGAGGCTGAGGAGAAAGCCAATGCAATCGAGGCGAAGTACACCAAGGCCAAGGTTACTCAAACTGAGGCCAAACTCAAAGAGGCGTTGGAGGCTAAGGAGGCTGAAGTCAAGGCCGCCAACGAGAAGGCTTCCGACGAGAAGGCTTATGTAGAGGGGTAGGCCGACGTACACGATCAATATAAGAAGCAAGTCAATCTAGCCTGCAACAAAGGTTATTACTTTGGCTAGATGGTTGCGCTCAAGAATCTGTCTGTCCCTAAGGACTCGCCACTTTGGGATATCAGCCAACTTGACATGTATTTTCCTCCATCGCCAAACCAATCCGAAGACGAGGCCGAAGAGGAAGAAACCGATGCCGATGAAGAGGCAAATGGTGTTGTTGGGGCCAAGTCCCCAACTCTTAACGATCAAGTCCTAGACTTGACCGAAGTGGTAGATGATGAGGTTTCCAAAAGCACCTCTCCCCAGAAGGCTACCTTTGAAGCTGAAATCCTCTCCGCGGAGAAGAGCCTGGACCAAACCTTACTTGAGATCGACGTCAAGGTAGTGGTGGAGAAAACTGAGCTGATCGTACGATGCAGAGACAACGCCAAACGTCGAGGTGGATTAACCCGAGGACCTTGATGCTTAGATTTTAATGTAGTTGTACTTTTTTCTTTTTTTTTGTTAATAACTTTTTTTTTGTCGGGCCGATGTGCCTTCTGTTTGTAATCAAACAAGTTTTCCTTTAATGCAATTTTTCTTTATCTTGTAAGTGTTTGCCTCTTGTTGTATGCTCACTGCCTTGCCTTGTATGTTTCCGTACTTCAAATCTTTTAAAGTTCTTCTAAGTAAAACTTTCTTCAATAATCACTTTGGATTAGAACATGTTGGCATCAAACATCTCGGTAGTGTTTCTGACATTTATCTCAAATAATTTTAACTTGTAAAAAATTTGAACATTATCATCTTGGGTAACTTCAACTTGTAAAATTCCTAAGTTTTTTTTACAAGTGTTACATTCACTCATGCTTCTTGCCCCCTAATGTGAACCTAAGTATTACTTATGTTCACATTAGGGTTGCATTGTCTGATTCTTGCCTAAGACATCCATGACCGAGGTCATCGCGTTTGGCTCGCCCAAACCAAACACTTAAGGCTTGACCTTAGTGTACCGAGAGTACTTAGCTACCTCGGCTTTTCGCACAAACTGACCAAAACATGGGTAGTTCGCCTTGTTCTACTTTAAAACATCGCCTTACACTTAGTTCAACTCTGTCGTCATGGCAAGTCTAAGTTAATCGCCTTGTTCCACTTTGAAACATCGCTCATACTTAGTTCAACTCTTCCATTATGGCAAGTCTAAGTTATTCGCATTGTTCACCTCGATAACATCGCCTTAAGATTTTCTCAAATGTATCTCGCAATTATAAATTTCAACAACATTTTGTAAAATCAAAAATCGATTCTAGTATTTTATTAATACTTTAGCTAAAATCAACTCAAATTACAATAATAAAGAGAAAAAAAAAATCAAACAATCAGTGATAGAAAAAATTTAGGTTACTGGTGTTCCAAGGTCTTGGTAATTCCTTGCCATCAACATCTTCAAGCCAATATGTGCCATTATCGGCGATTGAGATAATGCGATATGGTCCTTCCCAGTTTGGACCAAGCTTCCTCTCTCTGGGATCTTTCTTGTTGCTGACGACCTTCCTTAGGATGAGGTTTCCTATCTAAAACTCCCTAGGATTAACCTTCTTATTGTATGCCCTGGCAAGTTGCTGCTGGTATGCCCTCATCCGAATCACTACTTTCTCTCTTCTCTCTTCTATAGGGTCAAGATCTCGGGTGAGGAATGCCTCATCTGTTCCATTTTCCACTCCCTGAGTTTTGATTCCAAGGATGTCAATCTCCAGTGGGATAACAACCTCTGTGTCATAGGCCATAGCAAAAGAAGACTCACCAGTAGATTTTCTCGGCGTAGTCCGATATACCCATAGGACATTGGGCAATACCTCCACTCACTTGCCCTTGGCTACTTCTAGCCTTTTCTTGATTCCATCTAAGATGGTCATGTTGGATGCCTCTGCATGTCCATTACTCTGGGGGAAGCTAGGAATAGAATAATAGGTCTTGATTTTGTGTTTCATACAGAAGTTCTTGATCAACTTGATGTCGAATTGAGTGCAATTATCTACTACTATGGCTCTTGGGATCCTAAATTTGGTGATTATGTTCTTCCGGATAAAATTTTTTGCATCCACATCTCGAATTTTGGCGAGGGGTTTAACCTCTACCCACTTTGTGAAGTAATCAGTTGCTGCAAGCAAGAATTTTCTCTATCCAGTTGCCTAGGGCAATTGTCCAACAAGGTCCATGCCCCACTGGGCAAATGGCCAAGGAATGGATACTGGATTTAAATCTCCAGTAGGCTGGTGTATCAAAGGTGCAAACCTTTGACACTTTTCGCACTTTCTTACATAGGCTTAGACATCTTTCTGCATATAAGGCCACCAGTATCCCTGCGATATATCCCTGTGAGCAAGTGATTTGCACCCTGTATGGCTTCCGCAAACTCCCTCATGAATCTCATACAAAAAGTCCACTACTTGGGATGGGTGTACACATCGCAGTAGAGGTCCAGTAAAAGACTTCCTGTACAAATGGCCTTTTGCTGACAAGTAGAACTTGGCTGAGTTCAGCCTGATCTTGTGGGCTTCTCTTCTATCTTCTGGGGGCTTTCCATCTCTTATGAACATTACTATGGGATCTATCCAACTTGGACCCAACTTTATGCACATTGCTTCATATTCTGTTATGAGAGGTTCAATACTTGGGCTAGACAGGTAATCCACCATGATTATCCTTGGCTCACCTGACTTTATAGCACTAGCTAGGTTTGCTAGGATGTCATCATGACTGTTGCCACCTTGCAGCCTGTAGCTTTGGAATTGGGTAAGTAACTTGATGACCTCCTTCACATAGGCCACCATTATCTCATCTCGGACTGTGTACTCGTCCGTCGCTTGATTTACAACTAGTTGGGAGTCGCAGAAAACTGCTACCTCGTCGTCATCCATAGTCCCAACTATTTTTGATCTAGCAATTAGTGCTTCATATTCCGCCTCGTTGTTGGAGGCCTTGAACCCTAATGGGATAGACTGTTCTATTATTCGCCCATCTAGCGAACCAAAACTACACCTGTCCCCGCTCCTTATCGGTTTGAACTACCATCGACAAAGAGACGGAAAGAATCACCATTGTAAATATCGCAGGGTTTTAACTTTTCTTCACCCTTCTTCTGTTTTCCCGACATGGGGTTCTGTGGGCCCAACTAATTTTCTTCTCTTTCTCATAGGCATCCAAGGCCGAGGTTCACTGGTGCTCGCCTCGAAGTCACGCCTAGAGTGAACTTTGCCACAAAGTCAGCCAGAACCTGGCCCTTTATCTCTATCCTTGGCTTGTATTCTAGGTTATACTGACCTAGAACTACAACCTATTGTGCTACTCTGCCTGTCAGATCTCCTTGTTGCTACAAAGACTTCAGTGGGTGCTCTGTAAGCACAATGATTTTGTGGGCATGAAAGTAATGGTTCAATTTCTTTGAAGCCATTACTAAAGCAAGCGTTAAATTCTCTAGAGGCACACCTGGTCTCTGCATTGGCCAAGGTTTGGCTGACATAGTACACTGCCTTCTGCTCTTCCTTTTCCTTTCGGATTACCACGGCACTAACAACGTGGTTTGAAATTGCTAAGTATAGGAACAATTCTTCTCTTAGTATCAGGTTTGACAATATAGGTGCTGTTGTCAAGTACCTTTCAAGTTGGTCAGGGCGACTTTGCACTCTTTTGTCCACAAAAATTTTGTAGCCTTCTTTAATAGCTGAAAAAATAGTTTATATTTATCTAAACTCTGACTGATGAGTTTTTTTAAGGCTGCTGCCTTGCCGGTCAAAATCTGGACTTACTTCGTTGTCATTGGACTCTTCAAATCAAGGATGACCTTGATCTGATTTGGACTCGCTTCAATTCCTTTCCTGGTTACCAAGTACCCCAGGAACTTACCAGATCCTACCCCAAATGCATACTTTAAGACATTCAACGAAAGCTGGCATGCCTTCAATATTTCAAAGATTTCCTTTAGGTCTGCCAGATGATCTTCTGGTTCTTTACTCTTGACAATCATGTCGTCAATGTAGACTTCCACAGTATTGCTGATTAAGTGTGTGAACATCTTGGTAACCAACCTCTAGTATGTCACTCCCGCATTCTTCAACCCAAAGGGCATTACCCTGTAACAATAAAGTCCTTTCGGGGTGATGAATGATGTCTTTTCTTTATCTTGGGCATACATTGTTATCTGGTGGTATCCTCTATATGCGTCCAGAAAGCTCATTCTTGCATGCCTTGATGTGGCATCAACAAGTTGATCAATCTTGGGTAGGGGAAAGTAGTCCTTCAGGCATGCTTTGTTCAAAATAGTGAAGTCTACATAGACCCTTCACTTGCCATTATTCTTCTTTACCACCACCATATTGGACAGTCAGGTGGGGTAGTTTACTCCCCAGATCACTTGTGCCTCTAGCAGCTTTTCCACCTCCTCTTTTATTGCATGCACATGGACCAAAGTTGGTTTTCTTGATCTCTAAATCACTGGCTTGTTCGTTCTATCCACGTTAAGTTTGTGGTAGGTGACCTCGGGACTAATCCTCAGCATCTCATAAGGTGTCCAAGTGAACGCTTCTATGTTTTCTCTCAAAAAGACTTTTATTTGCCTTTTTTCTTCCTCGGCTAAGCCAGAGCCGAGGAAGAGGAATTGCTCATCATCTCCTTCTTGTACAAGAA